GAAAAAAATCAATATTACACAAGTTTACATTTTGATAAGGCAGTTTTAACTTTAGCATTCATATACATTCAAAAGAAAACCGTATCAAAGGTAAGCTAAATCTGTAAGAAACAGAGACTCTGCTCAAAATATAAAAATTTTGAATTCTTAAATATGCATAGAATGCTATGTCATCTCCTTAAAATAAAGGAAATAATGTGCTATACCAAATAGAAACATTCTGTAAACACAATATTTAAAGTAGAGTTCAAGTTTCATGTAATGTGCTATACTAAATAGAAACATTCTGTAAACAGAATATTTAAAGTAGAGTTCAAGTTTCATGTTGCTGCAAGTCTTTTCCTACAGAACTCCTGCACCCTGTAGGAACCACCAAGACAGCACCTCAGACATCAGCTAGTAGTTGCTACCCAGAGTGCACAATTGTTACTATGACCACAATACTTGTATCAAGTTAAGCAAAAGAAAATAATCTTTGACATAAGGAGAATGGCTAAATTGTGGTAGTGTTCCCAACTTGATATATTGTGAGCAGACTCATCAGCTGGGATAACTATGGTGTACAAAGTTACATATCCTTCCAGGATAATACCTAACACGGTTTAAAAAGGGAAAAATGGTTTGTGAGTAATAAAACCCCATCTGCTTCTTCATTCAATACTAACTACAACACATGAGATTTTTGTGAATGCAATATCATCCTTCAAAATGGATTCAGTCTGAAGTTCCTACAAGTCCATATACCTATCTGATTTTAGATAGCTTGATGTCAAAATGACTAAAGTGTCTGCTGAATAATGCAAGCCAAAAGGAATATACTGCACAGAGGGAGGGCAGGATATTCTATTTTAGTTATTACCACATAGAATCATAGAATCCTCAAGGTTGGAAGAGACCTTTAAGATCATCAAGTCCAACTGTTAACCTGGCACTGCACTGTAACCCCTAAATCACATCTTCCAGTGCCAGGTCCAGATGCCTCTTAAACACTTCCACATATGGTGACTCAGCCACCTCCCTGAGCAATCACACTTAGCATTCAAAGTAAGAGTTGTCAGGGAACACAAAGAAATCAGCTATGTAGATTCAAGCATTTTCCTTTGACTCAAAATATTACACTGAATCTTCAGAGTTGGAAGGGACCCTTGAGGATCATAAAGTCCAACACTTGGCTCAGCACAGGACATCTGAGAATCACACCATGTGCCTGAGGGCTTTGTCCAAGCGTTTCTTGAATTCTGTCAGGCTTGGTGTTGTGACCACTTCCCTGGGGAGCTATTCCAGTGCTCAATCCCCCTCTGGGGGAAAATCCTTTATTCTAATACCCACCCTAAACCTCCCCTGACACAACTTCAGGCCATTCCCTCAGGTCCTGTCACTGGTTGCCAGAGAGAAGTCAGTGCTTGCCCCTCCACTTCCCCTTGTGCAAAAGTTGCATACAGTTATAAGGTCTCCCCTCACACTACTTTTCTCCAAGAAGAATAGACCAAGTGACCTCATCCGCTCCTCATGCAGCTTCCTCTCTAGGCCTTCCACCATCTTCATTGCCCTTCTTTGGACATTCTCTAATTGCTTTATACCCTTTTTGTATTGTGGCGCCCAAAACTGTGCACAGTATTGTAAATATTGTATTTATTGTAAAATAGAAATCAAGTAAAGGTCCTGGAAACTCCTGTTTCTCTTCAGCTTTTTCAACAATAAAATACATTCTTAACTCTAAAGGATTCATTTAAATGCAAAGGAATTCAAGCCTTCAAAGCAACATGTTAGAGTATTACACTTTAGCTGAACACATGTCCAACATGACAGAAAGCTCTAATTAACATTCACCTTTTCTTCCAAAGCATGATCTTCTCCCGGTGCCTGATAAGGAGCCACATGCTTCCAGGTAACAACAACAACACTGTTGGGATCGAAAGCAGCCTCAGGAAAACCTCTTTTGATATAGTCTGATGCAAGTTGCAAGACATCTGAGGATGAATCTTCTCTGTAATACACATCTCCATGTCCATCCGTTGTGTCCAGGTCAGCCATAAAAGGAGCAATAGCCCCAAAACTCACTGGGAATTGACCAAGATATTTTTCTTCACTTGAAGGTTCATTCACTGCAATAATCCCATTAGTGGCAATCTAACAAAAAGATGAAAATGGTAAGATAAATACTGTTCATATGGCTGTCTCCCATATATATTTGCTCTAGATCACAATATTTTTATTGCATTTCCAAAAGAAATTGAGTCAAAAGTCAGTTTTGTATTTGAAATTAACTGGGTTGTTTTAAGCTTTTGTTTAGTATCCTATGCCAGGAGTCCTGGGATTTCAGTTGCCCAAAACTAGAGGTCT